TTCAGCCCATCACGCTCCATCCCTCKCAGTCGTTGTGTCCCTGGGCAAGACACTTCATCCACCTTTCCTGCTGATGGTGGTGCCAGTGCATGGCAGTCCCGCCTCTGTCAGAGTGCCCCAGGGCAGCTGTGGCTACAATGTAGCTTACCACCAGTATGATTGGGTAAATGACTGAAGTCTGAAGCGTTTTAGAGTCCGTAGAGACTTGATRAAGCTTTCTATAAGTTCATGCATGAACTTATAGATGAATGAACTCTTGTGAATGACCATGGTCATTCACAAGAGAGGAGCTTGATAACTGAAAGCTCTGCCTCACATTCTACTTTTAGAAACTCCAGGAACCACAAGTAAACCTGCAGAAACCTAATGTAAAATTTGTTCAATTCTTATTAATGAATCATTCATTATTTTTAATTGCTTCATACTAGTGTCATTTGAGAAATGATAAAAAATGGGCCCTCGTTTGGCTAGCCTGGATGAAGACTCTTTTATCCWAATTCTGTGCTCTCTGATGTCACAACAGATGAGTTATTAACTATTAATAAGTATATGATCAAACATTAATCAAAACATCCATTTTAAAGCTGTTTTGGGGTTTTCTAGGATTAGGTCCTGAGTAGAATTAACTCTAAAACTTAAGTTGAAGAGGGGAAAATGTTTCAACTTTATGAAGTAAAGTTTCATAATTTTTGTTGGGTACAAATGGTATAAAAACATTTATCTTTATTTGTACCTTCATCAGCACCTACATGATTTTAATCTACTGACAGATGGTGAACATCTCCAAACGCTGTAACTAGAATTCAGTTTTCCCAGTACWGAAGCTTCAACACTTGCTGTGAAGCTTGTTGTTTTTGTGTTTATTCCAATTAGAGCAAGAAAAACTAAAGCAACACCTTTAGTCAGTGTTCACAGTGCAGCTCTGAGGTGCAGAGTCTGCACAGAAACAGGTCAACAGGTCTTTGTTTCCTCATTTACAGGAGCTCAGCTCTGTGAAGAGAAGTGTGTGTGTTTGAGTGTGTATTTTAATAAGTTTGCTCACACATTCAGCTTTCAGTTTGTGGCCAAAAACTTTGTAGCACTAACAAGTTTTACAGCTAATCTTTGTGTTCAGTTCAAACTTGGACCAGGAGTTCCTCCACTTGTTGGATCATAAAGATGTTTTTAGTTGTTGCTGCTTCTCAGCTGACAGCTGCACAAAATGTTTGCTACTATCCTGGTTAGAGGTCAGTAAGGTTCCTGGATAAATTATGCCCATTTTTCAGATTTTTTTTTAAATGAAAAATGTCTTCAGCAGATGGCAGGATGGAAATATTAAATCTGAACTTCATCATTTAAAAGAACTGTGTGATCTGGATTTTAAAGGTTCTGATCCACTCTCAGAACTAAAGACTTGACTCTGTACTGATGTTTATTTTCTCCAGATAAATCTGTGTGTTTACAAAAATATCTTACTGGGCACAAAATATTTAGTTTTATTTACTTGTGGTCAGATCTGTATATCCATTCATCATAAGCATAAAAATTGTTCTTTTTTTATTTTAGTTGATTTTCTCTACACAGGATGGAACACAGTTAACAATTATTTTTTCATACAATAACCTACAATTTTTGCTAATTGGGGCTGAATGAACTGAATGAATTTAACTTGACAATGYCTAAAATCTTCTTGGTAGTGATAAAGACAGACTGCAACTTTTCTTTGTCACCACAAAAAGGATTCGTTTTAAAGCACTTGCAATGATGGAAAGTCCAAAAAACTCATGGAAAATGGAAGGAGGGGAAACTGGTGTTCAAGAACAAACCAAGAACCAACAAGATTCAAGTCTGCATGTGGAACACCAGGGTCTCAGAGGCTTCATCACAATGAGGCTTTCAAACCTAAAAAACCTGTACCAACTGTCAATCATGGTGGTGGTCTCATCATGCTGTGGTACACACTGCATATCCTGGTTAAAACCAGACYCTTGTCCTTCACTTTGCTTCAGATGGAGGAGTGAAGAGAAACTAGAACTGAACTGCGCAGGAAGGCAAGGGCCAGGCTACACACTGCATAAAGTGGGTAGAATAATGATAAAAGAGGAGTACTGCCAAGTTCTTCAACTTCACCTAAAATCCACAGATGGCTGAAACTTGGACACACGAGAACTGATTTATGATTAAGTAAATCAGGTTTAACATTAAGCTCCTGTAAAGGCCTTCCTAAAGCCACAGCCTATAAGACTTGTTGAAAATGTTTTGTACGAGAAAACTGCACATCTTACTAACTCTGACAAGAAGAGAGGGTAAAGAAGCAGAGTTAGACACGGACTTCCTCAGGGTTCAGTGCTTGGACCAGTTCTCTTTACTTTATATACGTATGCTTCCATTACAGCATGGGATAAATTTACATTGTTATGCTGATGATCAGTAAGTCTTTTAACCCCCACATTAAAAATGTTACCAGGACCGCCTTCTTCCACCTGCATAATATCACTAAAATTAGAAATATTTTGTCCAAAAATGA